TGTAGATTGAAGAAATCTTTGTATGGCTTAAAATAATCACCAAGGCAATGGTACAAGAGGTTTGATAGTTTTATACTTAATCATGGTTATTCAAGATCTACTTATGATAGTTATGTGTATCTTAAAGAGTTAACAATGGATCTTTTATATATCTCTTATTGTATATGGATGACATACTTATTGCTGTAAAAAAGATGTTAGAAATTCAGAGTCTTGAAGAAACGACTCGGTGATGAATTTAAGATGAAAGATCCTGGAGCATCGAAGAAGATCTTAGGTATGAAGATTCATAAAGATAGAAAGGCTGGAAAATTATATCTTTCATAGAAAATGACATATTGAGAAAGTGTTTAAGCGCTTTGGTATACAAAAAGCCAAACCTATCGAGTACTTTATTGGTTGCTCACTTCGAATTTCAGCTTCTCATTCACTTTAGAATGAAGAAGAAGAGAAGAAAATGTCATCGGTTTCATATTCTAGTATAGTAGGTAGCATAGTGTATGCTATGATCTACACTCGTCCGGACATTGTCCAAGTAGTTAGTGTTGTGAACAAATATATGGCTAATCCAAGAAAGGTGCATTGGCAAGTAGTAAAATGGATTCTCAAGTATCTCAAAAGGTACCACATACTTAAGTTCGGTTTTTAAAAGGGGTAGTGCTTCTAAAACTTATGTTGTAGGCTTTGTGGATTCCGGCTATGAAAGTGTTCTCGATATAAGGAGATCTTTGACGAGGTATATTTTTACACTTTTAGGTTTTTCTATAAGTTAGAGATCAATATTACAATTGATAGCTACTTTGTTGACTATCGAAGCATAATATATGGTAGCGATCGAGGCCATGAAATAGGTTATTTGGTTGAGAAATCTTATAGAGGAACTTGGTTTTCAACAAAAAGAAAATTCAATTGTTTTTTATGACAACTAGAGTGCTATACACTTTACCAAAAATCAAACACATCATGAGAGGACCAAGAATATTGATATCATGTATCATTTTATTCATGAATTAGTTTCGACAAGAACATCGCTATGAAGAAAGTTCATACTAAAGACAATCCAGATTGATGTGTTAACTAAACCTATTATAGCAAATAAGTTCACTCATTGTTTGAACTTGAGTGGCGTTAAGAAAATCAAAGTGTGCTATTAAAAAGAGAGGCTTAATCGTGAAGGAGGAAGACACGATCGTGTGAATGTTCTTCTCTCTCTCGTGCTTTATGCTTTTGCCCGTGTGAAACACTTGCCTTGTGCCCGTGTGTCATGCTTCCATTTGTATGCCTTAAGCATTTATTTGCACATGTTGGGGTATTATTAGAGAGAAAGAATTTTGTTAGTCCTAGTGTAGGGTCAATATTTTCTCTTTTCATATCTCTTATTTCTTACATCGAGTTAGGTTACGTAAGCTTAAAGGTGTGTTTTGAAGAATTATTTAACGTTCTCGAAGGTTTATAGAATTTAAGTCATGGTGGAGATTTCTCATGCGTGGCTTGAATTTATGGGCTAATGATATGTTTACCCCATTAGGCTTTTTGTTTTATAAGTATGAGGTATTTAAACCTTCTTGTGACTCTGTTTTGGAAATAAAATGAAAGATAGAGACTTTGTATTAAGCCTTCATATTTTTTGTATTCTCTTGCTATCAAGCTAATAAAACTTTTCTCTCACCCGTGGAATAGACAATTTATCAAACCACGTAAATTCCATGTGTTGATAATTTATTTAGCTTTATTTTTTGATTATTTTTTGCCATTACTTATCTTGTTTCTACTCGTTTGTCATAACATTAAATATTGTGGTATAAAATTAAGATGTTAATTTTAGAAATGTATCTTATCAATTTGAAAATTTTAAAAATTTAGTTACTAATTTGAATAAAAACTGAAATCAAGAAAAATGTCTTTCAAAATATCTTTTTTTTAACAACGTAGAATTTTTGTGTATAATATGAGGATTGTCCATTTCACACAACATAAATGAAACCGTAAAAGCCGATAATTGTAAACCAATTCTCAATTAATTAAATAAATATTTGGTATTATTTTTGCTTTAAAAGAATTAAAAAAAGATATTATTATTATTTTTTGTTTTTATAAAAATAAAATAGGAATAAAGTTTAGAAAACTTTCAAAAGCAAAAAAAAAAAAAAAAAAAAGATTTGCAAAAATATATATTTTTACAATATTACCATATTTTTTAAGGGTTGCATCCGGTTTGAGAAATCGGGCAATGTTTGTGGATCATGCGGGACCGGAGGTTCAAATTAGGACCTAATCGAGATGCCTAAAATTCAAAACTAGACTTGATTGGAAGCGTTCGAGATTTTAAGTTGAAACTTGCTTGTAGGCTTTTGGGGTTTGAGTTGAGACTTGGTCCGCGACACTTAAGATTTCATCCGAGACCAAGTTTAGAGTTATTGGAAGTCGGTTTAGGGCACTTAACGTTCGGGTCGAGGCTCGATCTAGAATGAGTAGGGGTTAATCTAGGACCTCATCCGGGACACTCGAGAGTCGATCCGAGGTTAGGCACGAAATTTCCATGCTTTAGGGTTATGATCAAGTTTGGAGCATTTGAGGTTCAAGTTAGGACTAGATTTTGGAGGCTTGAACTTGAGGTTAGAACCTAGGGACTTGAGGCCTGGATTTGGGGTATCCGGGGTTACGGTCAAGACATCATCTAGGACCTCCGAGGTTTAGGTGGGAATTGTGTACAAGGTGCTCGATGTTCAAGTTAAGGCCGTGTGCGAGCACTTAAGGTTTGAATCGAGACCACTTTTGAGACACTTAAGGTTCGGTTTAAAATGGGTTTTGGGGGGGGGGGGCTAGGTGTTGGTCCAAGATCGGATGCGGGGTTGCGATCAAGTTTGGAGCGCCTATCGAACGGATCAAGTTCGAAATATCAAGAATCAATCCCAAATCGAGTACAAAGCTCTAAGGTGTCGGGTCACAATTTGGTCTATGATGCTACGAAATTAGGTCGGGAGCACTCAAATTTCTAGTCCGAGATACTAGAGATCCATTCTAATAACTTGAGTATTTGATTGAAAATAAATATATTTTTTAGGAAAAAAACTAAAATAAAAATCTAACAAAACATTTTTTTTTAATTTTTGAAAAATAAATAAGAAAAATTTTTAAAACCGAGAACGAAAACAAAAAACAAAAATTTTAAGAAACACTAAAACATCTAAGAAGTTCATTGTTCATTTGAATAGTGAACTTCCATCGATTGGTTTTTGTTTACGCCAAGGCCCTATTTTATTTTTTTTATTTTTTTATTTTTTATTTTTTTTCGTTTGTTTGATTGTTCATTTGAACAATGAAACTAGCTGACTTTTTTTAGCCAAGATCCTTTTTTGTTTGTTTTTTTTTCCTTTCGCATTTTGTAGCAAAGGCCTGTTTTTGGCTTTTAATAAAGTGTTTTTTTTTTTTAATTTTCTACAAAGGTATTTTCGTGATTTCTTAATAGTTTTTCATTTATTTTCAAATTTTACACTTCGGTTTTTTGTCCTTTATGTTTTTAAAATATATTTTTAAATCCTCATATTTTTAAAAATATTTTGAAATCTCATGTTTTTAATTTAGTCTATTTTTACCTCACTTTTTTTTTCAAAATATACTTTTTATTTCTCATATTTAATTTTTTTTTTCGTTTCTTATGTTTTTAAATTTTAAAACAAACATATATATCGGATTATATTTTTTTATCGATTAAATTTAATCTCTTAAATTTGTTGTTTATTATAAAAATTCTCATTAAATTAATTTTTTATGAACTTTTATTTCTTGAAAAATATGATTTATTTTTTCAGTTTTATTGAAAATTAATTATGTATCCGCATACATAATTCCATTAGTCCATTCGGTTCAAAAACTATTTTTTTTCCTTTTTTCTATTTGAGTGTTTTTATTTTTTGTTTTAAGAAATAGAGAAAGAATAAAAAATATAGGAAAAAAATAAAAAAGAATTTTTAAAAATAAAAAAATATATTATTCATGGTCAATACTAATAAAAAAATAATTCATTCATTTTTCAAAACAAGATGAACTAATTTATTATTTAATTTACAATTTAAAAATCTCTTTCATCGAAATTAAGAAATAAGATTTATGAGAACCAATTTTGTAGTAGTTTTTATTACAATTTATTGACTTTAATATATTCTATACAAGCTAGATGGTTTTTTCAAAAAATTATTTATACTATATGCTTTGAATCTAGTTACTATATATCTAAAGTTTTGTTAGAAATTAATTATGTATCCGTATAGATAATACTATTAGTTCCTTTAATTCAAAAAAAATCTTTTTTGTCCTTTTTGCTATATCAATGGTTCTATTTTTTGTTTTAATAAATAGAGAAAGAATAAATAAATAAATAAAAATATGAATATATATATATATATATAGTTTTGTTAAAAATTAATTATGTATTTACATACATAACACTAATTATTTATAATTTATTCTTTTTAATACTCTAAAATTAATATTTTTAAATAAAATAATTGAAAGATATCTATATCATTAGTTTTGTTATAAATTAATTATGTATTTACACATATAACTCTAATTATTTGTTTTTTTTTTATGTTTTAAAATAAATTTAAATTAATATGAAAAATAAAATTTTTATCTATGCTGTGCTATACAAAACATTAACTTTAAATATATGATTGTCTAGCTGTAGCTTAACGTGTGTATCCAACTCGTTTAAAATGAAAATGACAGGAAAGGGCACGTAATGAATTATTACAGTCTCAAAAACAGTCTACATTCACTGTACAACAAAGCATACCTTATAGCCTCATTTCAGTATCTTACCAATATTTTCAATAGATTTTCTTTCATATTTGGCCTTGCTCTCTCTGTATATATAGAAACACAAATCCTTCTTCCTCACCAGCTCACATCTATTCCCTTCTTTACATAAAAGAGGCTAATTAAAGGATTCTTGTGTGCGTATCTCTTTCTTTTTAATTTCTTAATTGTCATTAGCCATGGCTGAAACCAAGAACCAACAAGGCTTTGTTTTTGCTGGCAAGAAAAGATCATCAACAGGGCAAGGTGGTGACGATGATTTTATTGTTGCTAATAAGAAACCAATGCTATCTACGGGCATGCCTTCCATGTGGGATGATCCAGCTGCAGCATTAGCTTCCTCGAGGCATGAATTTGGTGAACATGGTGGTGTTAACATGTCTATTGAGGCCTCTGCCACCTTCACTGTCATGGAGCCCGAAACCATGCGCCGTATGTTTACTGGCGAGCTTGGTCCTGACCGTGACTTCTTCATATACAGCCGGCACTTTAATCCCACCGTTTTAAATCTTGGCCGTCAGATGGCTGCTCTTGAAGGCACCGAGGCTGCTTATTGCACCGCTAGTGGTAAATTATTTTTTTATCACTACAGAGTTCATACAATTTAAGAACAGTTTTTTTTTTGTTTTGGAAACTTCTGACAATTTTAATATTACATTCTTGCACAGCTTCGGTAAATTATATTACATGATAATGTAGATAAGTGTCTGATATATTGGTACATATTTATTATGAATTTCATGAAAATTTGAATCCCAGAAATAAAATTGTCATAAATTAATCGTTCTAATTCTGGTATACATAGTTTGATTTTGAATATTGAGTCAGTAAGGCCATCTAAACTTTGTCTCCGTTACAAAAATATCACACTGGACTTGTAATGGTTTAATTTTGGACAGGTATGTCTGCGATTTCATCGGTGTTGCTACAGCTTTGCAGTAGTGGAGGACACATGGTGGCATCAAGGACCCTCTATGGTGGGACTCATGCATTACTAACCCATTTCTTACCAAGGGCATGTAACATAACGACAACATTTGTGGACGTCAGTGATCACGAGATGGTGAAAAATGCAATAGTCGAAGGACAGACCAAAGTTTTGTACTTCGAGTCCATGTCTAACCCAACTTTGACTGTTGCTAACATCCCTGAACTGAGTAGAATAGCCCATGATAGAGGGGTCACAGTTGTGGTGGACAACACTTTTGCTCCAATGGTTCTGTCCCCAGCTAGACTTGGAGCTGATGTGGTTCTGCATAGCATCTCCAAGTTTATTAGCGGTGGAGCTGATATCATTGCAGGTATATCGCAATACTGACAAGACTTGAGAGCGGTGTTTTAGGCTTATAATTATATCTCTTAACTAAAAAAAATAATTGGTGGAATCTTTAAGACATTGATTTCTAGGACTGATAAGATTAAGCATGTTATCTAACATACTTTTATGTTTCGTATATTCATTATGATGATACAAACTCACATGACCTCCTGAGTTCGTGTTGATGTAGTGATATCTTTTCTCTCTCTCGTGAATGATGGGTGTCTATAAGTCACTTCAGAGCATGCCAGCTTTTACGAATGTTTTTTGTCATATAGTTTATCTTAGAAAAAATTGATATTTTTTTTTAACATAGCCACAAGATGTTTGTTACGGTTAGGATCACGCTTGTGATTTGAGTTTGATCTTTCCTTTTGTTTCTTATGTGATTGCTTATGCGACGTGTCCTTTATCTTGTTTCTTTGTGGGTTAGATTTTTTTTCAAAAGATAATAGGGACAGTCGCGATAAGCTATTAGAACATTTGAGATACACGTACTGTTATTACCTTTTTGTTTCAGTTCTTATATCTTAAAAAAAATATATATGTTTTTTATTGTTTGAGATGAAGTCTTTATGGACTTCTGGTCTTGGCAAGAGTACTAAGCATATGCGTTAGGGGTGAATTGAACCTCATCACCTTTTATAATTGCCTTTTATATTCAATTTGGTACCCCTTATCTTGTGCATTCCTAAAGCTAAACAAGAATCATTGCTAATGCATCAACGGAATATTCTCAGGTGCTGTTTGTGGTCCAGCCAACCTGGTGAATTCAATGATGGATCTTCAGCAAGGAGCCTTAATGCTTCTTGGTCCGACAATGAATGCCAAGGTTGCCTTTGAATTGTCAGAGAGGATTCCTCATTTGGGGTTGAGAATGAAGGAGCATTGCCACCGTGCAATGGTTTATGCCACCAAAATGAAGAAACTAGGCCTCAAAGTCATTTACCCTGGCCTTGAAGAGCACCCTCAGCATGAGCTCTTAAAGTCCATGGCAAATAAAGATTATGGGTTTGGTGGCCTGCTTTGCATTGACATGGAAACTGAGGAAAGGGCTAACCGTTTGATGAACCACTTGCAAAACTGCACCCAATTTGGGTTCATGGCAGTGAGCTTGGGCTATTATGAGACCCTTATGTCTTGCTCTGGTAATAGCACTAGTAGTGAATTGAATGACGAGGAACAGGCACTCGCTGGCATTTCACCAGGATTGGTGAGAATGTCTGTGGGATTCCTTGGCACTTTGGCTCAGAAATGGAGCCAATTTGAGAAGGCTTTTTCAAGGCTGCAGGATTCAGGGTTGTACAAGAAATGAACTCAAGTTCGGTGTTTAATTACGTGTTGTGGGTCGCTCGGTTGGGTTGTCATGTAAAATGAGTGGCCAGCCCTTTTTGTGTTTATACTGTTTATGCTCTGGATGTTATGGACAGTGTAAATGCGTAATAACGGTTCTCCTCTTCTGTTTTAAGTTCAAATCATCATCTGTTTTGCTTGCCAAGGTTCTATGTCACCTTGAATCTGTTGAAAATATCCCATTTATCCCCTTCTGATCCAACTTAACTATTGGATTAGCCACAACGCAAAAACTAGTTATCATCTGGGCTTCATTTTAGACCCCTGCCTAATTATAATCCTCTACTAAACTAATCCAAATTAAAATTCTCATTGCTTGATAACATTAATTTGTTAGTAATCTGTCCTAGATGAAGAGTATTGGGCCAAGTATAAGCATCGACAAGGATGGTGAAGAAGGAAGAGACAGAACAGCCCAACTCAAAACAAAGGGGATTGAAACTGGACTGATGGCTATTTGGCAATGACTAGGCAGGAGGCTCCTTGTCGATCCGAACCATGCCTTTATGAAATCTTACATTCAATTACGAAGCTTAAATCTTTTATTTGTGATCAATCTTATCTTGGTTACTCCTTTTGAACTATGAAGTTAGAAGCAGTATAAAAATGGATTACTCTACTTTGTGTGTGTAGTAAAAATTAGTTGGATATCCATGCTATGCTATGGACGAGATAATCATTATATACGTAAGATTAACGATTCGTATGGTATAATACGAGTAGAAAGTTTTATTTTTAGTGATTAATATAAAATGAATATATATATATATATATACAAAAAAAAACCCACCTAAAATGTATAAATATATTGAAGTCAATAGATTAAAATAAAAACTACAACAAAATTGATTCGATAAATTCTAAATAAATATACATAAAAAAACAAATAAAACTTGTGAACTTTTTTAACTCATTATTGTTTTTTTTTTTTTAAAAAAAATTGAGTCAAATTATCTAAAACATACTTTTAGCTCTCTCTCTCTCTCTCTCTCTCTCTCTCTCTCTCTCTCTCTCTCTCTCTCTCTCTCTCTCTATATATATATATATATATATAAACTAAAATATTGGCATTCTAAAATTTTATTCCAAAATTCATACATTAAAAAACCAAACTTATTAACATATAAAATTATATCAAAAAATTAATTTAATGATAATTTTAATAAGAAACAAATAATTGAAGAAATAAATTAATATTAGTTAAGGGATATTGAAGGGACCAATAATATATATGTATTTCTTTTCCAGTGAAGGGACCAATTATATATGATCGCTTAACTTATACAAGCATTTGTTGGAGGTCCCGTTATGCTATGACAATATATATATTCTTTTAAGGGTTTTCTTTTGCCTTTTGGTGATGTAATCCTAAAACATATCAAGATTTAAAATAATTACCTAATGTTTTTTTTGTTCTATCATGAGATTGGTGGTCGGACTTTTAAAAATATAAAATAAATTATAGGAAGAAAAAAATGACGAGTGTCGTTCCTAATTGGCCCATGCGACCAATAGAGGCCAACGTGCTTAGGCACGCAAGCCGAGGCCGGGGTTGCTTGGGCCCAAGCCTAGGCCATTTGGGCCTGCTTCTCTAAGCCTCGATCGCTGTTCAACCTAAAAAAAAAAAATCTACAACTTTCGACGAACTCTAACTCGTCGAAATCTTTGTCGAATATTTAGGGGTTCGGTTTCGGACCCCAAGAAACTCAATTCCGGTATTATTTTTTTCCTCAAACACCTTTAAATGACCGAAATAAAGTCAAAAAATACTTTTAAAATCTTAAAAATCATTTTAATGCACATTAAAATAAAAAGAAAATACATAATCAAATCAGATTTTTTTCTTCTTTTTTGGCTCCGATCTACCTCCAATTATTTGATGACTCGAAATCACCATAGAAAAACTCATCTTTCAAAAATATTAAGGATCAAAATGTTTAAAAAATTATAATATACATTAAATGAATAGTAGCCACTCTTCAAATACCCCAGTTCTTTTAATTTACTATATAATAAAATATGTGATTTTTTAAAACTAATTATTAATTTTTTTAAAAAAAATTGAGTCAAATTAATTTTTTAACTAATTATTTTTTTTAAAAAAATCAAGTAAAATTATCTAAAACATACTTTTAGCTCTCTCTCCCTCGTCATAATTTATATATGTAATTATGCTACTCTCATTTAAAAATCATAAAAATAATCAACCATATAAATTATAATAATATATTTTAAAAAAATAAAACAATCAAGTTCTAAAATTTTATTTCAAAATTCATATATAAAAAAATCAAATTTATTAACAAATAAAATTATGTAAAATTAAAAAATTAATTCGATAAGAATTTTATTGAGAAACAAACAATTGAAGAAATAAATTTTAAACAATAAAAATAGTATAATCGGATATATATGTTTAAACTAAAATTTTTAAAAATATTATATATATTTTATTACCATAAAATTGTACATAAAACTAAAAAAAACTATCTTTTTTATATTTTCATACCTAATTTTATGATAAAAATATAAAAATAAATTATTAGAAGGTAAAAAAAAAAAATGGCAGTACGCTGGTTGGGACTCGCTAGTGCGAGCTCGCTTGAGCCCCCTTCTCAAGGCCAATACTATAAAAAAAGAAAAGAAAAGAAGAAATGCTTCTCCAAGCCAGCCCTAAAAAAAAAAAAAAAAAAAAAAAAAAAAAAAAAAAAACTACGGTGAAATGAGCCGAGTCGATTGCTAGAGCCTCGTTTCTCCGAGGCCAACACTAAAAATAAATAAATAAATAAATAAAACGCTATAGTAAATGAACAGGAAAAACCTTAGTTCTTTTATTTTTTTTAAAAAATAATTATAATATCCGAAACACACTTCTAGCTCTCTCTCTTTCTCATCGAATTTATATATGCAACAACGTCATTTTTATTGAAAAATCATAAAAATAATCAATCATATAAATTATAATTATATATTTTTAAAACATAAAGCAATCTAGTTTTAAAATTTTATTTCAAAAGCTGTATATAAAAAAAAATCAAATTTATTACCAAATAAAATCATATAAAATTTAAAAATTAATTCGATGAGAATTTTAATAAGAAAAAAATAATTGAAGAAATAAATTTTAAATAATAAAAATAATATAATCAGATATATATGTTCAAACTAAAATTTTAAAAAATATCATATATATTCTATTACCGTTAAACTATACGTAAAATAATAAAAATAATGATATTTTTTTAAATTTTCACTCCTAATTTCATGATAAAAAATATAAAAATAAATTATTTATAAAGAAGGGGAGCAATTGTCATATGATATTTAAATAAATCATTTATTATTAAATATTATATTATTATACAAATATATTTAAAATAATATTTAACTAATACAATGTAATATTAATTTAATTATATGGTATAATTATCAAATATATTGTATTACTAAAATACTTATCAATTTTCAAATTCGTAAAACAATATATTATTTATATCATAATTTAAAATAATAAAAAAATATTATATTGTATAATAAATACAATATTCACAATCAAAATAAAAATAACTATTTTATAATAATTATTTCATATTTTTTTTGTAAAATATAATGATAAAGGATTATAATTATTAACTATAAATAATTTTATTATTTAAATAAAATATATTTCTGATCAATAAGGACCTAAATAATACATTTGATCATATAATAATAGTCCTATAAATGTTGAAACTGAAAAAAAGAGAAGGAGGCTAGACGTTAAAAAAAAAAAAAACCAAAAAAGCATTGTATAAATACAATATTCATAATCAAAATACAAATAAATATTTTATAATAATAATTTGATATTTTTTGTAAACTATAATGATAATTTATTATAATTATTAACTATAAATAATTTTATTATTTAAACAAAATAGATTTCTATTTTATAATAATTATTTGATATTTGTTTTGTAAAATATAATGATAGTGTATTATAATTATTAAATATAAATAATTTTATTATTTAAAAACAATTATATTTCTAATAAATAAGTACCTAAATAATATATTTGACCATATAATAATAGTCAAACAAATATAGAAACTGAAAAAAAGGAGGCTAGACGTTAAAAAAAAAAACAAAAAAGCACTCGCTATTTTTTGTAAAATATAATTATAATATATTATAATTATTAACTATAACGATAATCCGAAAAATATAGAAAGTGGAAAAAAAAGGAATGCTACGGTGAAGTTTCAGCATGCCAACCGTAAAAGGGGAAAAAAAGGAGGCTAGACGTTTAGAAAAAAAAAGAGGACTACTAAAGTAAATGGAAATGGTAAAAAGAACAAAAAAAAAAAAAATTAGTTTTCAAACCAAAGGGACTAATTAATTTATTTCTTAAAGAATTTTTTTCTATTTCTTAAAAAATAAAAATAGTAAAATGGTGAGAACGACCAAAAAAATTAGTTTTTAAACCAAAAAAACTAATTAATTTATCTCTTAAAGAAAGAGGGACTAAAAAACAACAAAAAAGTGCATGAATAGAGACAATGAGTCTAGAGCTACACTCGAATGAATAGTTTCACTCTCACTTTTTTTTTTTTTTTTAATGAGCCTAATAAATAAAAACTAGATTTTAGTTCTTTAAAATTAAAACAAATCAGTTGAATATTAAATGGATGGAAACGCACACATATATGTATGTATTAAATAATCAATAACATTTAGAGTTGTTCTTTTGATTCTAACTAGTTTTTTTTATACATATTATGCTTGCTAGTTGGACAAAATATAAAAAATTATTTTTTAAAAATTATTTTAATTTGATATCCCGTGTTATATTATGCGTCTATTAAAATATATAAAATCAAAACTCGAACAAAATTCATTCAATTTAATAAGGTTTTTAATCAATTTTTTTATATTTGACTACTTATATTTTATATTTTTTTATTAAAAAATATTATTTATAT